CCCCGCTTCTCCCCTCCCCGCTCCCCCGCCGGTGTCTCTCTGGAGGTTTCCGGTCTCAAGACCAACCGCCTTATTTCCCGCCTACTCAGGGTTGCCTTGGTCGGTTTGGGGAAGGGGCTGCAGGCTGAAGGACTCTATCCCAGTAAGAGGGCGCCAGAATGGTGTCTACCTCCCCCTCCCAATGGCAGGAAGGGTCGAATGTGCCTCCGGGAAAGGCCAGGAGGATGTGGGAGAGTTACGGTCTGTCCACACAGAGCTGTGGCTGTGAGCTGCGTTGTGGTTTAGGGTCTGAATGTTCGCTAGGCCAGGATGTCCAACTATGTATGTTTCTGCGTGTGTGTGTGTGTGTGTGTGTGTGTGCCTGAGAGGTTGTCTTCTGGAGTCTGAAACCTTGTGTTTCTCTCCGCCTGGAAGGCTCTTCCTCACACAGTACCTTCTGCAGTCTGAAAATATCCTTCTTGCCTTCCCTCTTCACTCATCTCCCTTATCCTGTGTCTTAGTTTCCTGGCTGCCATAACAAACCACCAAAAAGCTGGGTGGTTTGAAACAACAGGAATTTATTCTCACAGTTTTGGAGGCCAGAAGTCTGAAATCGAGGTGTTGGCAGCCAGTGTGTCCTCAGTGGCTTTGCAGGGGAGTCCTTGCTGGCCTCCTCCACCTTCTAGTGGTTTCAGGTGCTCCTTGGCTAGTGGGTGCAACACTCATATCTGCTTCTGTCTTCAAATGGCCTTTAACGCTTCCTCCCCAATCTCCCTCTGCCAATGGATTTAAGGCCCTTTTAGAAAATCCGGGATGATCTCATCTTGATGTCTGTCACTTAGTTACATCCGCAAAGACTCTTTTTTCCAAATAAGGTCAGAGTCACATGCTGTGGGACATGGACATTTCTTTTCTGGGGCCGTCGCTCAAGGCCCACTAAACTCTTGGTGGCCCTCCCCACCCCATGCCGGCATGTTATATAATTCATTATTTGTGTGTCTTCTCTCTTTGCCCAACTTGGCTGTGAGGATAAGGGGTGGGGGGGGCGACTTTTCTTGTGTTCGCGACCGCGTTCCTTTTGCTAAGAACATAGTAGGTACTCAGTGAATATTTGTTGCATGGATGGATGAGAGTGCCTGTTCGTTGGGCTGTGTGTTTGCGTGTGTGTTTTTTTTTAACGTTTATTTATTTTTGAGAGGGAGAGAGAGCGCGTGCGCGCTCACGTGAGCGCATGAGCAGGGGAGGGGCAGAGAGGGGAAGAGAGAGAATCCCAAGTAGGCTCTGCGATCAGCACAGCCGGATGCAGGGCTCTATCTCACTAAGCGTGAGATCACGACCTGAGCCGAAACCCACAGTCGATGCTTAACCGGCTGAGCGGCCCAGGCGCCCCTGCTTGGTGTTTCTGCCGGTCCTGTGTGTATCTGTGTCTGGGCTTCTCCTGCCCCATACCACCCTAGTACTGCCCAGTACTAAGCTGTCTCTGCCCACAGGTGCCCTCCAGGATGGGTGGGCGAGCGGTGCCAGCTGGAGGACCCCTGCCATTCGGGCCCCTGTGCTGGCCGTGGTGTCTGCCAGAGCTCGGTGGTGGCAGGCGCTGCCCGGTTCTCCTGCCGCTGCCCCCGTGGCTTCCGGGGTAAGGGACGGTCTGGGGGAGGGGAGCCCAAGACAGGCGGGCATGTGCATGGCCCAAGCTCACCTTCTCCTGGTCCCTCTAGGTCCTGACTGCTCCCTGCCGGACCCCTGCCTCAGCAGCCCCTGTGCCCATGGTGCCCGCTGCTCTGTGGGGCCCGATGGCCGCTACCTCTGCTCCTGCCCGCCTGGCTACCAGGGCCGCAGCTGCCGAAGCGATGTGGATGAGTGCCGGGTGGGAGGGCCATGCCGCCACGGTGGCACCTGCCTCAACACGCCTGGTTCCTTCCGCTGCCAGTGCCCAGCTGGCTACATGGGGCCACTGTGTGAGAATGCTGCAGTGCCCTGCGCCCCCTCGCCATGCCGAAACGGGGGCACGTGTAGACAGAGTGGCGACCTCACCTACGACTGTGCCTGCCTTCCCGGTGAGGGAGCTGCTCCCTGGGGAGGGCAGCAGGAGTGGACAGACAGCAGGCCAGCCTGGCACTGACCATCTTTGCCTTCTCTTCCTCTGCTAGGGTTCGAGGGCCAGAACTGTGAAGTGAATGTGGATGACTGTCCAGGGCACCGCTGTCTAAATGGGGGCACGTGTGTGGATGGCGTCAACACCTACAACTGCCAGTGCCCTCCTGAGTGGACAGGTGAGCCCCAGGGCCGAGAATAGCCAGGTGGCAGACCTTGGGTGTGCCTGCAGCCCGGTGGCTGGACTGGTGTATCTGTGTGCCACAGGCCAATTCTGCACAGAGGACGTGGATGAATGCCAGCTGCAGCCCAATGCTTGCCACAACGGGGGCACCTGTTTCAACACACTGGGTGGCCACAGCTGTGTGTGTGTCAACGGCTGGACAGGCGAGAGCTGCAGTCAGAATATTGATGACTGTGCCACGGCCGTGTGCTTCCATGGGGCCACCTGCCATGACCGCGTGGCCTCGTTCTACTGTGCCTGCCCCATGGGCAAGACTGGTGAGTGGCTGTTTGCCTTGCAGGCAGCAGGGAGCCAATGATGGTTCCACGGTGGGGGAAAGGATGGTGTCTGACTTGAGCGTTAGGATGATTAGGTTGGAGGCCAGCTATGGGGTGCAGGGTAAGCCTGGAAGAGGCTGGCCCACAGTCCGGGGCAGTAGCCATGGGAATGGAGAGCTATCCCGTGACCGAGGAGAGGGGACCTTTGCAAGTGGCAAAGGGTCAGGGAAGGTGTTTGGGAGGGGAACTTGGGTGTGGAGGGCAGGGCATGTCAGGGAGAGGCTACTGCAGAAGCCAAGGCTTGAGGGTATAGAATCAGAAAAGGAGTCAACAAATTTTAAAACAATATGTGGGTGTTTCCAACTCATTTGCAAACGGTTCAGGAAAAAGATACATAGAGCTTACGGTAGTTGAAGCTAGGTGGTGGGTGTATGAATTAGCTCTTCAGTACATTTGGAAGTTTTCGTTATAAATGATCGGGAAAAATAGCCTACTGAATACCCTGCAGGTTAATAGAAACAAAGCACAAACCAATATGTGGGGGATGTGGGACCTTTGGGCAGAGCTGAGGGTCCGCCCTTGAACTCTGCCTGTTCCTTTCCAGGGCTTCTCTGTCATCTGGATGACGCCTGTGTCAGCAATCCCTGTCACGAGGATGCTATCTGTGACACGAACCCGGTGAACGGACGGGCCATCTGCACCTGTCCACCAGGCTTCACCGGCGGGGCATGTGACCAGGATGTGGATGAGTGCTCCATTGGTGAGGGGGGCGCAGTCTGAGAGTTGGGAGGGAGGGGAGAGGCAGGTCCTTAGCCACCCCCACTCACACTGGCGGTGCCTGCTGTTGCAGGCGCCAACCCGTGTGAGCACCTGGGCCGGTGTGTGAACACACAGGGCTCATTCCTGTGCCAGTGTGGCCGTGGGTACACAGGCCCGCGCTGCGAGACCGACGTCAACGAGTGCCTATCGGGGCCCTGCCGCAACCAGGCCACGTGCCTCGACCGCATAGGCCAGTTCACCTGCATCTGTATGGCAGGTGCGTGGGGGGTGTTGTGGTGGGGGCGGAGCCTGAGGCTGGTGGTGAGCGAGGGAAGCCTGCAGACAGCAAGGAGCACCCCCCCCACACACAGTGACACTGGGTCTGCAATGGGACCCTGAGAGACTGAAGCCTGGAAGGAGGTGGAGGCTGGGCCAGAGCAGAATCTTTGTGCAAGGCTAGGGGTGTGGTCACATGGAGTCCTTAGAACCTCAGATGGGCTGGGAGTGGAGTCTGTGCCATAGGATCCACTGGAGGGTGGGGATGAAATGAGGGCGGGACCAGGGGGTGAGATGAGGGCGGGACCAGGGGCTGGTGTGGGCCCAGGTGGAGCCTGCAGACAGTCTGGGTGGGATTGAGGCCGGGCCCAAGGCTGTGGTGGGTCCTGGGCTGGTGGCTGAGGACCCTGCATAGTCTAAGGACTGCAAAGGGAAGAGGGCGGTCTGAAGGCAAGGCCCATGTGGGGTCTCATCATCCTTGGATCGGTTGGAGCCTCAGCTGGGTGAGGGTCCACCATAAGGCCAAAAGCTGAATCTAAGGTTGGGCTGGGGGTCAAGGCCAAGCAAGGCTCAGGGGAACTGTCTAGAGTGGGAGAGGAAATACCTTCCCACTTGCTCTCCCTTTAGGCCAGAGGCTAACCCCCACCGCCCTAATCCCCCTCCTTCACTCCCTAGGCTTTACAGGCACCTATTGTGAGGTGGACGTGGATGAGTGTCAGAGCAGCCCGTGTGTTAATGGCGGGGTCTGCAAGGACAGAGTCAACGGCTTCAGCTGCACCTGCCCCTCGGGTGAGGACCCTGGCCAGGGAGCCTGAAAAAGACAGGTCCCTGCAGAGGCAAAGGCTGTAGGGTGGGAGCCTGTAAGACCATGTTAGTGGGCAGCTATCGTAACAGAAACCACATGCTATGAACACCATTGAAGTAAATTTATTGCTTTATTTTTACAAAAGTTTTATACTTTTTAGAAAATGTTTATTTATTTTTGAAAGAGAGAGAGTGTGAGTAGGGAAGGGGCAGAGAGAGAGAGAGAGGGAGATACAGAATCCAAAGCAGGCTCCAGGCTCCGAGCTGTCAGCACAGAGCCCAACACGGGTCTGGAACGCAGGAACCACGAGATCAGGACGTGAGCTGAAGTTCAACGCTTAACCGACTGGGTCACCCAGGCGCCCCTGAAATTAATTTAAAACTAAGTGAACAGTCATCCCACCCGAACAAGGCAGGGTTGGCAACGGGTGACTTCTCTGACCCGGTCTGGGCCTCTGTCCGTCCCATTCCCTACCCTAAGGCTTCAGCGGGGCCATGTGTCAGCTGGATGTGGATGAGTGCGCCAGCACACCTTGCCGGAATGGAGCCAAATGTGTAGACCAGCCCGATGGCTACGAATGTCGCTGCGCAGAGGGTGAGAGAAGGCCATTGATAGGCCAGCAAGAGTCTGGGGGCGGGGCAAGGGAGAGAGAGAAAGCAAATAACAGCCTTGGGGAAAATTTGGGGGCGGGGCTGCAGCAAGGCAGGACCTCGGTAGAGCCAATGACAGAGCCAGGGAGTGGAGCCAATGATGGACCTTAGCAGCGGTAAGGCTAGGGTTGGGGCCAATGGGTCTGGCAGATACTTGGTGCTAAAAGGTAGAGGGGGCGTGTCGCCCCCAAACTCCTCTATCCCCAGGCACTTCCCGTGTGTCCCCATTTCCAGTCCAGAGCGGAGAGTGAGGCGGAACAGGGCTGGTAGTGTAAGGACTGGAGGCAGGGTACAGCGAGGGATGGGATTTATCTGTGGAAGTGTCTTGGCCAGGGGCGTGTCCTGGAGCCTGTAGCTGGAGGGAGTTAGGGGCGGAGCCTGAATTGAGCCCACCTCCTGCTGGTTAGCTGGGCAGGGCGTGAGGTAGAGGTGGGCCAGGATTGGGCCTGAGCCACGGCTGCGGGCAGGACCTTGGCAAGTGGGTGGAGCCTGATCCTCTGGTTCCCCCCGCCCAGGTTTCGAAGGCACTCTGTGTGAGCGCAACGTGGATGACTGTTCCCCGGACCCGTGCCACCACGGGCGCTGTGTGGATGGCATCGCCAGCTTCTCCTGCGCCTGTGCCCCGGGATACACAGGCACACGCTGCGAGAGCCAGGTGGACGAGTGCCGCAGCCAGCCCTGCCGCCACGGAGGCAAATGTCTAGACTTGGTGGACAAGTATCTCTGCCGCTGCCCTCCTGGCACCACAGGTGGGGCTGGAGGCGGGGCTGGGGCAGAAACCGTACATCTGGAGGGGCACAGAGGGTTTGGGAACGGTGCCCCTGGTGGGGCTCAGTGGTGGCCAGCCCTGCCATGTTCCCCTTCCCCAGGAGTGAACTGCGAGGTGAACATTGATGATTGTGCCAGCAACCCCTGCACCTTTGGAGTCTGCCGGGATGGCATCAACCGCTATGACTGTGTCTGCCAGCCTGGCTTCACAGGTGGGCAAGTGCCTGCCATGGGAAGGGGGTCTTTTTTTTTAATATACGATTTTTAAAACTGTTTTACTTATTTTTGAGAGAGAGAGAAAGAGAGAGAGGCAGAGCATGAGTGAGGGAGGGGCAGAGAGAGAGGGAGACACGGAATCCGAAGCAGGCTCTCCAGGCTCTGAGCTGTCAGCACAGAACCCTATGTGGGGCTTGAACCCACCAACCTAGAGATCATGACCTGAGCTGAAGTCGGACACTTAACCGACTGAGCCACCCAGAAAGGGGGTCTTTTTGGGGCAAAGGTGAAATCACCCTATTTTTTTGCTGAGTTTGCCCTTCTCTTTGCATATGCTTGTCCAATGAGATTGTCCACACTTAGTCCTGAGGCTTTGCTCTCTCATTGGCCTGAGGTTGCCCCCATATCAGCTCAACGTTATCCTGGAACTTAGACGAGGGTGTCCGGACTCAGGGATGGGTGTGTTTCTTCATGGGGCCAAAGTAATCCTTGGTGAAAATGAAGGTGACTTCATTTAAGTTTGGGGATGAGTATGATCTAGGGCAAGGCAGCTCTAGGTTGAGGAGGTGGCTGCCCTAGTTTGTACAAGAGCTCGTGCACTGTGAAAATGAGATTGTCTTTGCTCAAGGATGTGGCCACGCTAAATGGGGCAAGGTTGTCTTCCCCGTTGGCACCATCGTCCTTGTCCTGGGATGAAGTTGCCTTCGTGCTCTCCAGGGCCCCTTTGCAACGTGGAGATCAACGAGTGTGCGTCCAGCCCGTGCGGTGATGGAGGCTCCTGTGTGGATGGGGAAAATGGCTTCCGCTGCCTCTGCCCACCTGGCTCCCTGCCCCCGCTCTGCCTTCCCACGAGCCATCCCTGTGCCCAAGAACCCTGCAGTCACGGTGTCTGCCACGATGCGCCCGGAGGGTGAGGCCTCTCCCCATCCCCTGGTCCCCTGGGGCCTCCCTGCCCACAGGCATTCCCTGACTGCCTTTCCTTCCAGGTTCCGCTGCATGTGTGAGCCTGGCTGGAGTGGCCCCCGATGCAGCCAGAGCCTTGCTCGAGATGCCTGTGAATCCCAGCCCTGCCGGTCTGGTGGCACCTGCACCAGTGATGGAATCGGCTTCCGCTGTACCTGTCCCCCTGGTGTCCAGGGTGTGTGTCCCCCATGTTCCCACCCCAGGCTCTCCCTCCCCCCTTCTTCCTTCTCATGTCCTTCCTGCTGCACTCTCCCTCCTTTACGTTTGTCTTTTTTTTTTTTTTTTCCTCCCCTTCCCTACAGACCTTTGAGGTAGTATCAGGTGGAGGACCTGGGGGAGATGGGGTATCAAGGAATCTCAATGAAGTCTTCACTCCCCCTGCCTGCCCCCCCCCCCAGGCCGTCAGTGTGAGCTGCCATCGCCCTGTACTCCAAACCCTTGTGAGCATGGGGGTCACTGTGAGTCTGCCCCTGGCCAGCTGCCTGTCTGCTCCTGCCCTCCTGGCTGGCAAGGTATACCACCTGCTTCCTCCTCCTCCTCCTCCTTCTCCTCCTCTCCTTCACCTCCTCTGCACCCTGCTGCATACTGAGTGGTGCTGGGGACCCAGAGGGAAACTTACAGAAAAAATAGAAGACAGAAAAGACTCTGTCTCGGAAGGGACCGAGCAGAACACAGACAATTGCAGCCCATTGGAGGAAAGGAAGGGATCTGGGGATGGGGAAGCTAGGACTCAGATGGAGGGTTTGGGTGCAGCTCCCTGGAAGGGCTGACCTCAATCAGAATGCATTCATTCACTACCCACTGAAATAAAGGGAAGGGGGAAGGCAGTTTGGGAATAGCACGTACAAAACACACAAAGGCTAAGGAGAGCATGGCGTGTTCCTGCCTTCACCCATCTCAGCCTTCAGGTTCCTCCCGAAGGCCAGGTACTCGCAGACCCTACCCTGTACCCTCTAATCCTAGATACTACCTTATTCCCCATCACCAGGCCCACGATGCCAGCAGGATGTGGATGAATGTGCTGGCCCCTCACCCTGTGGCTCCCACGGTACCTGCACCAACCTGGCGGGGAGTTTCAGCTGTACCTGCCACGAGGGGTATAGTGGCCCTTCCTGTGATCAGGACATCGATGACTGTGACCCCAGTGAGTTCAGGGGAGTTCCCGGGGTGGGTGCTGCTCTAGAGAACATGTTCTTTAAGCCCACACGGTGTGCCCAGCACTGTGCTTCCATTTTCTTTCTTTCTTTTTTTATATTAAAAAATATTTTTTTTAAATTTACATTTATTTATTTTTGAGAAGCAGAGTGAGACAAAGCGTGAGCGGGGGAGGGGCAGAGAGAGAAGGAGACACAGAATCTGAAGCAGGCTCCAGGCTCTGAACAAGTGGTCAGCGCAGAGCCTGATGCGGGGCTCAAACCCACGAACTGTGAGATCGTGACCTGAGCTGAAGTCGGACTCTCAACTGACTGAGCCACCCAGGCGCCCCTGTGCTTCCATTTTCTCTTCACTGTACTCTTTCCCCGTTTTATGGAAACTGAGGCCCCGGAGAGGTCAAGTGATTTGCCCAAGGTCACGAAGCACGTAGAGGGATGAGCTGGGATTGGAGCACAGGTGTGTCTGAAGCCCGTAGACTGCCTCTGGCTGCGAACAAGTTAACATTATGCGTTAAGTAGGACATAATAGGCCCCCAGGAAGTCCTCCAGGAGCATTGTCTGATAGACCGACGGTGCAAGTCACATCTATACTTAGAATTTTTCTAGCAGCCACATTAAAAAAGCAACAACAAAAAAATTAAGTTTAATAATATATTTTAATTAAATTAATATATAAAAATGTTATTTATTTCGACATGTAATCAATATACGATTACTGAGATATGTTTACATTCATCCTTTTTTTTTTTTTTTTTTTTAAATTTTTTTTTTCAACGTTTATTTATTTTTTGGGACAGAGAGAGACAGAGCATGAATGGGGGAGGGGCAGAGAGAGAGGGAGACACAGAATCGGAAACAGGCTCCAGGCTCTGAGCCATCAGCCCAGAGCCTGACGCGGGGCTCGAACTCACGGACCGCGAGATCGTGACCTGGCTGAAGTCGGACGCTTAACCGACTGCGCCACCCAGGCGCCCCGTTCATCCTTTTTTTTAATAATAAGTCTTCAAAATCAGAAATCCAGTGTGTGTTTTATGGCACATCCCAGTTTGGACTAGGTACATGTTAAGGGCTAAATAGCCACATGTGGCCAATGGCCACTATACTGGCCAGCCCTGGTCTGGAGGAGGCCTTCTGTGCTGTGCCCAGGAATTAAATAGACCTAACTAGCAGCGTGTGCTTGGCGGCTCAAAGGGACCTTTTGGTTCCCCCATCCCCTTCCTCCTTGCACATAGGTGGGGTTTCCAGATGAGGGAGAGGATGAAACCACAGAGGGGACAGAATTTGATCCCTCTGACCAAATGTGCGGCTTCCTGTTAAGCCTGGTTTCCTCCTGGTTCCCCTCGATGAAAGGCATGGCTGGGTCAGCTTGGGCTGATGGGGGGGTCAGGTGTATGACCAGGCCTTCTCCCTTCGGACCTTAGACCCCTGCCTGAATGGCGGCTCCTGCCAGGATGGCGTGGGCTCCTTTTCATGCTCCTGCCTCCCTGGCTTTGCTGGTCCCCGCTGTGCCCGCGACGTGGATGAGTGTCTGAGCAGCCCCTGTGGCCCGGGCACCTGCGCCGACCACGTGGCCTCCTTTACCTGCACGTGCCCACCTGGATATGGAGGCTTCCGCTGTGAGCAGGACCTACCCGACTGCAGCCCCAGGTGTGTGGGGCCTCTGCTGGGGGCTCAGGGACAACGGCATCGGATGGGGTGTGCAACGCGAGAGGGAATGGGGACAAGAAGGGGGTTCTCGGCTTGGCACCCACTTCACAACTCTGATCCGTGATGGAGCAGTGTTCGGGAAGGGTCAGGGCGTCTGTTTGGAGGTCACCTTAGGGGACGCTGGTCCCCGACAGGGCCAGGCCACGGCGGGGCGGGGCCTCCATGTGTCTCCCACCTTAGCTCTCAAGGACTTGGTGAGTTGGGGCTAAGGGACAGGATCGGGGCGGGACCTCTGCTGGGGCTGCAGCTTCTGCTGGGGTTGGGCCTAGGGGGTCAGGGAGTGTGCCCCGACCCAGGAGGGGCCGAGAAGGCGGGGCCTGCATGGGGGTGGAGCCTGACCCAGCCTGCGCTTCCCGCCCCCTCCAGCTCCTGCTTCCATGGCGGGACCTGCGTGGACGGCGTGAACTCGTTCAGCTGCCAGTGCCGCCCGGGCTACACGGGCGCACACTGCCAACACGAGGCCGACCCCTGCGTCTCTCGGCCCTGCCAGCATGGGGGCGTCTGCACGGCCGCCCACCCTGGCTTCCGCTGCACCTGTCCGGAGGGCTTCACTGGCGCTCAGTGCCAGGTGGGCGTGGCCACCGGGGACGCGGGGGAGGAATCTGGAGGGGCTGTTCTGGGGTAGGGGTCTGCCGGGACCCTGGAGAAGCTGGGGTTGCGGCCTCCAGGGGGGTCGTGGCTGAGAGGCTGAGACTCTGAGAGCTTCCCTTCCAGACGCTGGTAGACTGGTGCAGCCACGCGCCCTGTCAGAACGGGGGTCGCTGTGCCCGGAGCGGGGCCTCCTTCTACTGCCTTTGCCCTCCGGGTTGGAGCGGCCGCGTCTGTGACATCCGGAGTGTGCCCTGCAGGGAGGCCGCAGCCCAGATCGGTGAGGGGGAGCAGAGAGGCGGGGTGTGGGGCTCGGGAGGGTGTGCGTGCACATACTTCTTGCTAATGTGAGCCGAACAGGGGTATGACAGGGCGTGTGGGCGGCATGGGGTGTGTGGCTGAGCGTTTGTGGATGCGCGACCGTGTGCCAGCTGGCCAGGGCCGGGATGGTGTAGATGCCTCTGTCACCACGAGGTAGCTGGGATGACGTCCGAGATGCTGTGTGTGACTGAGCCGGTGTGGGCAGTTGGGGTGTGGGTGTGTGTTTGTGCGTCCGTGACTGAGACGGTGGCGGTCTGGGCAGATGTGTGACGACACGATGGAATGTGTGTGAGACCCCGGGGACCGAGGCCAGCAGGGGTGTTTGGTGATGCTGTGAGTGATGCAGGCAGGGAGGGGCACGCGTGTGCCTGACACCTCTCCTCTGTGCAGGGGTGCGGCTGGAAGAGCTGTGTCAGACTGGTGGGCAGTGCGTGGACAAGGACAATTCCCACTATTGCGTGTGTCCAGAAGGCCGCACGGGCAGCCACTGTGAGCAGGAGGTGGACCCCTGCTTGGCCCAGCCCTGCCAGCATGGGGGCACCTGCCGCGGCTACATGGGGGGTTATGTGTGCGAGGTAAGGGGCCCCCAGAGTCGAGGAGAGGGGAGCTAGTCGTGCTGGGTGTGTCTGCACACACTTGTGTGTGTCTGTGACCTGGTGTGGGTGTGGCTCTCTCTAGGCAGGTCTGGCTTTTTGCTTTTCTGTCTCTGGGTGTCATCTCGTGGGGCTATTTCTCGGTTGATCTGAGGGACTTTCTGCCCACGGGCTGTCTTTGTCTTCAATTGTGTCCTGGATGTGCCCCGTATCCCTCTGTGTGCCCTGTCTTTTTGGGTGTGAACGCACGTGCTGGTGTCTCTGGGCCCATGTGTCTGGGTGTATGTGGGTGTTTTTCCTGGGTGTCTGTCCTGTGCGTTTGTGTGTGTCCCTCTCATTGGGTGTGCCTGTAGCCCTCCGCGTGGGGCTGTCCTCTGTGTCTGAATGTGTTCCCTTGTACCGTGTGCCTGTTTTCTGTTTTCTGCACACCGGACATGCCTCCGTGTGTTGAACACTGTATGTCCTTTTGCACTGCCATCTCTGTGTCTTCCTGGGGATTATCTGTGTCCCCCCGGGCTCAGTGCTGGTCCCCATCTCACATCGCTGCAGTGTCCAGCTGGCTACACCGGGGACGACTGTGAGGATGATGTGGACGAGTGCGCCTCCCAGCCCTGCCAGAACGGGGGCTTCTGCATTGACCTCGTGGCCCGCTATCTCTGCTCCTGCCCCCCGGGAACGCTGGGTACGCCGGGGCCGGGGTTGGGGGGACAGGATGGGAGGCTGGCTCTCCATCCTTTCCCGACGGCTCCCTCATCTTTCCCTCCCCTCAAGGTGTGCTCTGTGAGATTAATGAGGACGACTGTGGCCCAGGCCCACCCCTGGACCAGGGCCCCCGGTGCCTGCACAATGGTACCTGTGTGGACCTCGTGGGTGGCTTCCGCTGCACCTGCCCCCCCGGGTACACTGGCCTGCGCTGCGAGGCGGACATCAATGAGTGTCACCCGGGTGCCTGCCACGATGCACACACCCGGGACTGTCTGCAGGACCCAGGTGGGGGCTTCCGCTGCCTTTGTCGTGCGGGCTTCACAGGTAAGCGTGGGAGAGGTGGCTGCCCTGGGATCCGGCCCCTGTTCCCACACTGTGGCTGACCCACCAGCTCCCGCTTGTCCAGGTCCCCGCTGTCAGACTGTCCTGTCTCCCTGTGAGTCCCAGCCATGCCAGCACGGAGGCCAGTGCCGTCCCAGCCCAGGACCTGGGGGTGCGCTGACATTTACCTGCCGCTGTGTTCCGGTAGGTCCCATCAGTGCCCCTGGGAGAGGAGTGGGAGCGTGGCCACGTTGCAGGACGTGGCTTTAGGGGAGAAGAAGTGGAAGGGAAAGGGGTTCCTGAGAAATCCTGAAAATACCTGGAGACTGTGTGTGCGTGTTTTGGGGGATGGCGCCCCAGGCCTCCTGGGGAAGGCGGGGCTTATCTCTGCAAGGTGGGGCCTCCAATGGGCGGGGGAGGGGAGAG